TGAAGAGCTCCAGGGACAATCACTCAACCTCTTTTCTGGGTAGCCCATTCCAGTGCCTGACCAGTCCTTTAGAGATGATGTTTTTCCTAATATCCAACCTGAACCTCCCCTGGCACAACTTAAAAGTCATTACATGTTGTACTGCTGCCAGTTACCTGGGAGATGCTGACCCTCATTTCACTACAACCTCCTTTCAGGTATCACTCTCTCCCCTGAGCCTCTTTTTTTTTCCTCCAGACTAAACAATCCCAGTTCCTTCAGCTCCTCCCTCATAAGGCTTATGTTCCAGACCTTTCACCAGCTTTGCTGCCCTTCTCTGAACATACTCCAGGGCCTCAATGTCTTTCTTGTAGTGAGGGGCCCAAAACTCAACACACTACACAAGATGTGGCCTCACCAGAGCTGCACGCAGGAAGATGATCACCTCCCTGCTCCTGCTGGCTGTGTTGAACATTCAAGACAATTCTCTAAGTGTCAGCACACATCACTGTGCATCATAGTACCATTCAGTGCACCAACACATACAAATTCATACTGACCTGTTAAACATAAAAAGCAATTTTCACTTAAAATAATGTTTGCACTGAAAGTTTCGACATTGCTCTTGGAGACTGGTGATTCTTATTTCTAAGTAGTACTAATGTTTACAAATGTCTGTCAGTCTTGACTAGAATCTCCTCCCAGCAGCATACTAATTTCACAGCATCTTCCATCTTGGTACTTCTGCTAGAGAACTGCCTCATTAAAGTCTAAACAGGGATTCACACATGATTTTTTTTTCTGGCTCAACTAAGATATCTAAACTGTGAAAGCACAATCTTATAGCAAAGAATTTATACTGCACAAAAAGATTCATAAAGTCAGCTAAATTTCAGCTAGTTTTTAATCACTTTTAATCTCCAACAGCTGCAAGAGGCAATACTGGTACAAAAGTGAAACATCTTAACATCTTAAGTGAAGCAAAAGGTAAAACTGATGCACATCTCTAACAGCCACACCTAAATCCTTATTATCCCACACCATTAAGTCTTAAAGCTAAGCCTGCACCTAATGAAATCAATTTTAATCAATTTACTTAAGCATATTTATCTTTGTGTTTCACTTCTCCTACTAGTGATGGCACACCCACAAAAGCATGCTTTCAGAGATCACAAAATTTTTATAATAAAGCTAGACAGTAAAAGAACAGACTGCTTTCATAAGAATCACAGGGGTTGAAAGGGACCTCCAGAGGTCATTGAGTCCAACCCCCCTGCCAAAGCAGGCTTTTTCAATAAGTGTTTTAAATTGTATAGTGAAGTTTCTTCCTTGACTACCCGTAACATTTGCTCATGGTAGTACTATCACAAAAAGCAAAGCAGAAAGAAAAACACCCAACAAAAACGGTTTACTATAATCCTTCTTCGCCCCTCCACCTCTGTCCTCCCCAATTAAGTCCTCCAAATCTTAGATAAACTTTCCAGATTTTTTTAGACAAAATTGCAAAGTCTACAATGCTGTGACACTGGATAAAATGAAGAACTTACATATGAAATTAAGCTTAAATTACAGAAAAAAGCAGAGTGAACCTCATATAGCAAACTACTCATAATGTAGTTCTGAAATCTAACCACGTTCCAATTCCGCAGTTACATTACAGTTTGGTTCTAAGTTACAGCACTACATCAGTGCATACCAGCGCAGGACAACTTTGCTACTTAATTACTTAATTCTGTCTGTAAGAGGTCCCAACTGTGCCATAAAGCAACCAATAGTCAATCTGTGGTAGTTCCTCCATTGAAAAACCTCCATTTCTCACAACAAAAAAATTTATATATATATATATACACACACATATATATACACACATATATATATATACACATATATATACACATACATACACACACACACACAAAAAAAGAAAAACATACAAGCTCAATGATTCTCTGTAACTTTCCAAGCACTGAATTTACTTACGTTTGTCTTTTCCTTAAGGAAAATCCCACTTTAACAAGTAAGGGCAACACAACGGTGTCAGTACCAATAATAAAAATTTTAAGTTTACACCCTATACAGGGTGTAACTTGCTTGCTTCCTCAGACACACCAAGTTAAGGCTGCACAGCGAGTACAAAGGCAGAACCACCACCCAGTTACCTTATCTAACCCACTCCTGCCCTCAGCAAATTGGAAAACACAGGTTAAAAAGCACAATACGGCACAACGTGCATCAGTACTCATCTATACCATAATGACAGTTCCAAATCTTCACATTAGTAATGCATATTTTTGATGTTAAAACAAGTGTAAGTGAGACATCTTTGAAATGACTTCATCCACTAGGAAAATTTTTTAAAAAATAAGTTTAAACGCCAGAGAAGACTTCATGTATAACCTATCTACATAACTACTGGCTCCCAGTATGTGACTCATCATTAAACTGGGCCCTACTGAAATAAGTGTAACTATGCAGAACTACACGCTACTTGAGAAAGTTAACAGTTCTCAGAGATCTTAATGTACAAATTGTAAGAAAACACTTTAAGCTGAATACCTGAGATAACTTTTTCAAAGTACCAATATTATCTGCCTAACAGTACAGCTAGAATGCCCTACGTTACACCACGATGGAGAATGGAGTCAAATTCAAAAAAGCCACCCTCAGATCAGTATCCAAATGAGGGTATGCATCAATATAGATTAATTTCAATGCTTTAAAGAAATGCAATGAAATCTTCTCATGCGGTGGAAAAACGACAATAGTGAAAGGAGGATAATTTAGTTAAGCCAGCACAATCATTTTGTCACTTCAGTAGTGAAACGTGTATGCCTAATTCAGGTGCCCAAACTGTAAACTATTCTCAATATAGAACAGGCAAATAAAAAAGTTTCCTCCAGAGGGGTAATTCAGCTCAGAAGCCCAGTTCAGCTGCTCTGAGTTGTTGTCACTCAGTTGAGAAAACAACATCAAGTCATCAAAATTAGACACCAAACTTGGATTCTAAAGTTAAGTGCAGAAATTACTCTCCAGATTCAATGTATTCTCCACACTGCCACAGGACAGCAGCATTTAGTGTTTAAATCATACTCAAATACATCACAACAGTAAGATTGGTTACATCTCATAACCTTAAGAACCAAAGCAAGTAGAACAGACCTAAGAAATTTGGCAGCAACTCCTGAGAAACAAGAGAAATCACAAAGCAGAGGGAAAAGACTACAGCAGTCACCAGCAGGCACCAAGTGCCAGTGCAATACACTCCTAACCATCAAATGACAGTACTGTAGCAGCTCACTACAAGCATATCTGGAGCAAAAACTATTTACTGTGGTACTAAAGAAGTTTCTTACTACTTCCTCAAAGCAAATGCATCCTAAACACACTCTGTATCTTCTAAGAACCAACTTAAACTATTACAACAATACAGTATTATGAGTATTTAGCATAATTTAAGTCACACAGCCACTAGGTATTCCTGCTCCCCATGAAAAACTTTTGGCAGGACTAAGAGGATGGTCTGAGCTGGAATTTCTTTTTCTAGACTAGCATCAGGTTAAGCATATATTAAAGTGATCATATATGAAGGCATTTATTGACAAAAGGTTATTAAGGAAGCCAGTAACAAACAAATGAAAACAAAATAAGGTGAAACAAGCAAATAATCTGTAATCTCCTAATGCTTAAAGATCAACTAAGCTCACATTCCATTCCTGTCAAAGGCACAGCTGGAGAACTTAAACACAAACGGCAGGAGATGGCAAGTGAGCCCACAGAGGAAAGGAATATGTCAAGGGAAAAGAGGTGAGATAACAAAGAAGATTTTTAAGACAAGAAAATATGATCAGAAGGGCAAAAAACAAAAACAAACAAACAAAAAAAAACAGCATCGGTAAAGGAAATAGTTACTGGGACGAAGAAAGCTGAAACAGGAAAGGTCATAAGGGAATGATGACGATTAAGAAATATAGCTTGAAAAGGAAAAAAGGACTGGAAAAGAATCCTAGTAAGGACACAGCTTTCAGTGGCAGACAAAGTTACTAGGAGACAAAGGAGGTGATAAGCTGCAATGACAAAAAAATGCAGGATTAGCCACCTGAATGGAGGCAATAAATACATGAACAAACAATCAGGTAAGAGGTTACCTGTGGGGAAACCTCTCCCCGGGAACACGGCAGAAGGGAGCTACGAGGGAAAGCCTGAGTCACAGCACGCTTTCTGATAGAGAGAAAGCTGGGGAAGATGAGAAGAACAGAAATAAATACTTTCGAGACGACGGTAAGGGGTTGGAGGACACAGAGAAATTTAGCTACAACCACACAGGTCCAAACAGACCTGAGAGCCGCTAGAGCTTTGCGATGGAGACAACAGGGCGAAAGGCAGCCACATGGAGAAGGCAAAGGAGAAGCGAAGGCAGGCAAAAAAACTAACACCGCTGACGAGCCAGGCTACGGGAAAAGCTGCAGGAGGCTCACGATAGAACAGACGAGGCCTAGGACGAACGCGGCTCGGGCGTGCAGCCCTAGGGCCGATGGGAGGGCAGAGGAGGTGCGGGGCTCCGGGAAGAAGGGCCAGGATCCGAGAGAGACGTAAGGCTGGAGCAACGACCAGGTCCGGGCCACGTGCCGGGAAGGGCCGGGCCGCGGGAGGGATGGAGGCCGGGCCGACCTCGGGACGGCAGCGGGCACAACAGGCGGATCTGCGAGGGCAGGGCTGCCAGCAGCGCGGGCCCCCGCGGCCCGGCGGGGCGACGTAATTCCAGCGCGTAGCGAGAGGCCGCAGGTTCGAGGCCGGAGCTGCGATCCCGTCAGACAACGGCTCCCGCCGCCTCTGGAACGCGGCGTTCGCCCGGGAGAAGAAAGGCGGGCGGGCGGGCCGGCCGGGCTCAGCCGCTCCCGCTCCTCGCCGCGCCGCTCAGGGCCGAGCCGCGCTCCGTCAGGCCCCGATCGCCTCAGCCCGGCCGGGCCTCCCCGCCCGACCCGGCTCAGCTGCGACACGGCACCGCGGCCTCCCGCACTCACCAGTATCGCACGTCCCGCAGAGTCAGGCCGCGTCCGCCCGCCCCTTCCGCCTCCGCCGAGCCCAGATCCGCCGCCGCCTCCCCTCGGCGCGGCTCAGAGAGCGCGAAGGCGCCGCCCCCCCGCCCGGCTCGGCGCGGAGGAGACCCGAGGCGCGGGTAGGCCCCGAAGGTGGGCGAGAGGCTGGCAGAGGCGGCGCGGCGCGGCGCGACCTCTCCCCGCCTGAGCCACCGGAAGGGATCGGCGTCGCTCGAGCCTCGCGGCCGGAACTAAAAATAACCGGCAGCCGCGGCGGGGAGGGGTTTGCCCTTCGGCTGTGCTCGTATCCGCCGGCTTTCCTCCTCCGGCTGCCCGGCGGAAATGACAAGGGCAGGTGTGCGCAGCCGGAAACGGCCGCGGTGGTGCGGCGGCCCTCGGCTGTGTTGTGCGCGTCCTGCTGCGCCTCAGGGGTCGCCCGGCCGGACCCCAGAGTTTGCCGCTGCCGGAGGCATCGGGTGTTCTCGCTTCCAGTCTAAACTGCTGAGATTCACATCCTTCCGTGATGAAATCGCGGATGCTTTCGTATTTGTTAGAAGCGGATTCTTTACTTGCACTGAGCCGCTGAATTACACGCTATCCAGTTTCAAAGTTCCAATGAATGCTAAAGAAGATCCCCGCCTGGCATTACTAAACTAAACGGCTCTCACCCGAATGGCAGCAAGGGCTGTTAGCTTCAAGTGAACGCTGAGCTGAGAAATGACAGAGAGATTATCATCATAACCTAAACATAACTAGAAATCTTAATGTAATAGTGAATTACAAATAAAATAAAATAAAATCTCAGGGAACAGCATTATGAAGAGAATAGTGTAGAAATTCTTTGAAAGAAAAGTTGAACCATTGGGTTTCGAGCTGGTGGGGAGATGTCTGACTGATAGAGAAATAGATCTAAACAAATAGAACTAAATAGAACTAAATAATTGTGTTTGTGGTCCGTGAACAAACGTATGGGATTTTAATGCAGGATGATAAAATACAAACTCCTAGCTTTCGCATCATGGTCGTTGTGGATTGCAAGAGGGGCAGTTAATTTTTAACAGCATGGAATGGATTATGCAAAATCATACTAAAATTAAGACAGGTAATTAAAATTAAGGTTTTGGAAAAGTAATGTTTTGGACTCCGTCCTGCCTTACAATTCCGCAGTCGTCAGGAATAAATATTCATGGAACTGTGCTGCAAAGGAGGAGAGTGGGATTAATGGATCCTCTGTATTTTGCTTAGTCAAGGCTCTCTGTACTGTATCCTCCCAAACTATGCAAACTTTCCCTGCCAAGATAAAGTCAAATGCTGGTCTGAATTATACCTGAAGGTACTTAAAGCAATTTGCATGGAGTCATAAAAAAGTTTTGTTCTTTATATGAAGAATTCTGCCCAGAAAATGTAATGCTTCTTATGAAGAGAGAAATGGGGAAGCAACAAAAGAGAAACAAAAGATTTCTTTGCTCTCCAAAATGTTTCACTTGGTTGCTGGCTCCATCAGCTTTATATGATTTTCAAAAACCAGCCTTCTTAAAGCTTAAACTCAAAGCCCTTAGTCACTTAAGTGCTTGCAAATATATTTCCCTCTAACAGTGCCTTCAGCACAGCCTGCTGAAGTGGACACAAGCAAAACCACTGATATAGCTCTTCCAGTGAAACAGCTCTGGTTTAACTTGAGAAGCACTGTCTGAGAAACTGGTGTAATGTAGAGCATGGACACATCAGTCAGCTGGCATCATAGTGCTTATATTAATTTTGTCCATGGAGACATACTTTGCAAATATCATTCTTAGGCATGACTAAGTTTCTGGTTTGCCAGTATGGACTGCACTGGAGTGTTAGTCATCCTCTGTGTTGCATCACTGTGGCCAGCTCTGCACAATACAGTAAAGATGAGGAAGGGTGAGAGCAAATAAAGTAGTCTGAGGAAGATGGAACCAAATCCAATGGACTGATAAAAGATAAGGACTCGTTTTTTTCAGTCTTAGAAAGTAAGTTTTAGTCACGTATTTTCAAATAGTTATATTTACAGAGGAACTCCACCACCTTCCTGGGCAACCTGTCCTAATACCTCACCACTTTTCCTGAGATGTTTTTCCTAATATTCAACCTAAATCTCCCCCTGCACAACTTAACGTCATTACATATTTTCCTATCACTAGTTAACAGGGAAAAAAGACTAACCCTCACATTGCTACAGCCTCCTTTTCAGGTAGTTGTAGAGAGCTAGAAGGTCTCTCCTGAGCCTCCTCTTATCCAGACTAAACATTCCCTGTTCCCTCATATGCTCCTCATAAGACTTGTGTTCCAGACTCTTCACCAGCTTTGTTACTCTTCTTGGGACTCAATGTCTCTCTTACAGCAAGGGGCTCAAATCTGAACATAGTGCTTGAGTTGCATCCTCAGCAGTGCTGAGTACAGAGGGATATAGTCTCTAGTCCTGTGACTAAACTGTTTCTGTTACAAGCCAGGATGCCATTCACCTACCTGTCACACTGCTGACTCATGTTTAGCTGGCTGTCAGCTAACACCTCCAGATCCTTTTCCTCCTTTCCAGCCACTCTGCCCCAATCCTGTAGGGATGCATGGGGTTGTTGTAACCAAAATGCAGGACTCAGCACTTGGGCTGTTAAAGCTGACACAATTGGCCTCAGTTCATTGATCCAGCCTATCCAGATTCCTCTGTAGAGCATTCCTACCCTCAAGCACATCAACACTCCTCCCAACTCAGTGTCATCTGCATACTTACTGAGGATATTCTCACTTCCTTTGTGCAGATCATCAGTGAAGATATTAAATAGGGCTGGCCCCAATACTGACCCCTGAGGAACGTCGCTCATGATTGGTCACCAGCTGGGATTAACTCCATTCATCACCACTCTCTGGGCCCAGCCATCCAATCAGTTTTTTACCCAGGGCCACAGATAAACAAGGCAAGTGGAAAAGAAATGAGCAAAAAGTATGGGAGGAAAGCAGGTCCTGCACTAGATTGGGGTTTTTGTTTGAGATCTGAGAATTATGCATGTTGCTGTTTGTTTGCGTTGATTTGTTGTTACTTTAAGGAGGCAAGGCACAGTCCTCTACTTTTAATTGTGATGCTGGTAGTTTCTTTGGCACCCTGAAGAGATAGGCCAAAAAAAAAAAAAAAAAATCCACGCTGTAAGATGGAGACATCATGTGTAATATGATTCATTCATACACATACTGAAAAAAAATCCAGTTTCAGGGTAAGTGGTCACAGAAAGAAAAAAGGAAATGAATACTAAAGTAAATATCACTTTTTTCCCCCCAAATGCAGAATGTTTACTGTATTTTAAATTGTCCAGTGAAATTTATGCGCATGACTTGAAAGGGGAGACATTTCCTTCAGAAGAAGCAGCAGCCAAAAATATCAAGGACAAACTTCATGGGATAAATCAACTCCAGAATGAGTTTACGAAACTGCTGAGAGGGATCTGCTTTTAATTTCCAGAAATTTCTCACTTGTTGCAGTGTTCTACTACATTGAGACTGTACTAGAGTTCCCAGGAATATATGATGAAAGAGTAGCTAATAGCAGAGAGGCTACTGCTGAACTTGCTTCTGTCATAACAATGAGTGTAGAGTTATGCTACAGAGATTCCCAAACATATTCACACTTTTTAATCAGTGAGAAGGTACTTAGTATTTTTAATTTCTTTGGCCATACTCAGCATGCTCACAAAATGGGACACAAGTTTGAAAGTCTCCCTCAAAGACATCTTAGCTGTAGTCAAAGTTTGTCACTAACTGATACATTTATTTGATGAATTTTAGGTGGTTTTTTTATATACGTTATAAAAACATAACTGGAACTACTAGGAGTCTTCAGTACTCAATGCAGTTAATGAATTTATATATGCACATCTGACTTTTCTTAAAGGTGTGCAAGTTTTAATTGCTATTATTTTCATCTCAGTTACTTAGTCCAGTGCTTCCAATTTTGAAGCATACAACCTGTCAGTGAAAGCGATGAAGAGGTCCTGCAATTTACTTTCTGCCAAGAAAATCCTTCAGATGCCATGAGCACTAAGAATGTTATTATGATTTGATTGGAGCAATAGAGTAATAGAGATGCAAAAATAAGTTATTGTGTGGATATGCAAGGTAGGTGAAGGGAGAGAAGAGGTTTTGCTGAAAAAAAAATCACTCAGGAGTAGATTTAGCACTAAGCTGGTGGCACAAACACTGCTGTGCGTGTGAGTTTGTGATGTAACTGGAGCATATAGAAGGAAAAAGACTATAACCATGTACACTAGCCTGATAAATCTCTGAGCACACATGCCAAAAAAAAAAAAAAAAAAAGTTTGATCAATTTCCCAGTAGTTAGTGGGAGGTGGTGGTTTGGTTTTCCTCAGTACTGTGCTACATACATATAGTCTGATAAATTTTTAATCAGATTTGAGAGAAGTATGTTATATTTTCTTTCTCTAAAGAAAGGTATTCCCTGAGTCCCAGAGTGGAGGTTAATCACATCTGACTGTGACGCTGTCAGTGGTGTGACTCAAATATTCAGACCTAAAGGTAAGAGATTCTCATAGTCCAAAGGCAAGTTTTTTTTCCTGCACTGTGAAAAGCAGCATGGAAAGTTCTGAATTATCCATCTGATCTTATCACCAGGAAGGATATATTTATGTCTGGAAGTCTGCTCAGCACTCAGTTCCAACCAGTCCTGTGAGCGCAGCACGGTTCCACTATCCTTCCTTGAGAACAGATGAACCCAGGGCTACTCAGAAATGAAATATAGCTAAATGATATTGGATCATTTGATAAGTCAAGCTTCTAAGGAGTTTGATATGAGTTCGGCACTAGCTGAGTAACGATTTTTCTTGCTACAAGTCAGAGTAACATTTTTTATCGTGCAACCTGGTAGAGTTGTCTGGATACTTTTCATGTACATAGTGGATAAGGATGCCCTAATGCATGTTTTTTCCATCCTTCTTCATAACCAGCATACTTGGTACTCCTTTGTGCATCCTCAAGCCCTGACAGGAGCTACATTTTCCAGATATCTGGAGTCTGTTCAGAGCAACCTTCAGTAGTCTTGCGTATCAAGAATTTGTACCAGAACAGTTTCTCTGTATCTCATGCATTCTTGTGAACTGTATTATGATGATTGTATGTTTTTACCTCCAGGAAGTAGCTTAAAATATGCTCCTACTCTTTTTGTTCTTAAAGAAATGCCATCAGAAATCAGTGGAAAGTATTCTCTATTCCCAAGGTAAAGACACAAAGTTTCACCCCTTATCTAAACAAACTGCTTTCTCAGAAGTCTTATTACTTCTCGATACTATGAGTACTTTGTATTCAAATCTAACATTAACAATTTAAAGGAAAAATGTTTTGAATAACCTCTCTTTATGAGATACTTACCAGTCATTTTCTTTTCCAGGAGAAAGTTGGTGTGGATAACTTATTTTGTAAATTATTGCACATCACAATAGATGTACATTTTCAGGGTTTTCTTTTTCTGGCCAGAACAACTATATCCTTCTTTTCTTCCCTTTTTTTTTTGCCCCCCTTCCCCTCCTAGGTCTTCACATTGTTTGACATAAGGCATATTATTTGACCTGGAAGGAAATAGTTTGTCTATGAGTACCAGAAACTGAGTTTTGTTTTTTTTTTTTCAGTCAGAGCATTGCAGAGATCTATAAATTTGCCTTATTTACAAGAAGAATGCTCTTCTAAAGTAGCATTAGGCTTTGGCTATGCTAGCATGAGCCTTCTCACCATATACTGCACTTTATAGAAGTGAAAAAGAGTAGGAGAGATTCTCTTGCTATTACACCCTGCAGCTGGGAGGTGGGACTTCCTGCCTGTAGGTTCACATCTAATAGCTGAAAATGACTAAGCTACAGCTGTCATTTTTCAAAAATGTATTACATTTGCCAGAGAAAGCAAGGATTGTTACGAGTGCTACAAGAAAAAGTGTTGTCAAGCTGATGTAAGAAATACACACTGACTGTAACCATATTTACTCATATGTAGTATCTACTGAAACACAAAATATCCTCCTCTGGGGTCTTC